TGCACCTGTCTGCGGGCACGAGTCTGCGTGCAGATGAAGATAATTCTGCACACCTCAAGTGAAAACTTTTGTTACAAATGTCGCATTTAATGCCTCTCAACTGTCTTTCTGTGTGTACTCACCTATTTGTGCTTCCGGGGGTTGAGCTTTGGCTCTCTGGTCCCGCCTCTCAACTGTGTGTATTCACCTAGCTGTATTCACCGTGTAGTGCTTGCGGGGGATTGAGCTCTGTTTTTTCGGCCCGCCTCTCAACTGTCAATCAACTGTAACAATTTTGTTTCCACACACACACACCCAGAAAGCAGCCCGTAACAGCTGTCTAACTCCCAAGTACCTATTTACTACTAGGTAACAGGAGCATCAGGGTGAAAGAAACTCTGCCTATTTTGTTTCTGCCATCACTGGGAATCGAACCTGGACCCTAGGATTACGAGTCCAGCGCGTAGTCCACTCAGCTATCAGGCCCCTATAGCTGTGTACTCACATATTTGTGCTTGCAGGATCGAGCAGTGACTCTTGGATCCCGCCTTTCTAGCCATCGGTTGTTTACAGCAATGACTCCTGTCACATTTCCCTATCATACCTAGTTTTAAAAGTATGAATAGTATTTGCTTCCACAACCTGTGTGTGTGTGTGTGCTTGCGTGCGAGAGCGTGCTTGCGTGCGAGAGCGTGCTTGCGTGCGAGAGCGTGCTTGCGTGCGAGAGCGTGCTTGCGTGCGAGAGCGTGCTTGCGTGCGAGAGTGTGCGTGAATGCGAGAGCGTGCGTGCGTGTATGAGGGTGCACTCATGTGAGTGCATCCAGACCTAGAGTGACAACCAGACCCAGGAGACGGAGCTCAACCTTCACACATGGGAAGGCCAACTTGTCCTCTTTCCAATTGACGACATATATATATATATATATATATATATATATATATATATATATATATATATATATATATATATATATATATATATATATATATATGCAAATATTAATTTCCTGAATAAATCCCTAACCCCAACGCGTCCTCAGGTTATGTTCATTCCATCCAGCTGCCGATCCCAGAGACGCATCATCAGCTTTAACAGCTCTTCATTCAAAATAAGAATTTTCTCGAATATAAACTAATATTAATATTTATGTAGATATTTAGGCGTAGGTCAGGTTAAGTGTTCACATGAGAGAAGATGGGTTGAATTCCCCCCAAAATACGACCGATTTGTACAAAAAACAAACAAACATAATATTGAGGCTTTCTATGCATCAGCATCAACTGGTTACATGTCTTGCCTAAACGTTTCTGGTGAGTAAAACAGTCGCATTTCTCACGGAGTGGCATACCACGAGCCCGGGCTGACCACCGCGCCATAAACACACTCTTGCTAACAATAAAATGTCAATCTGGAGAAAAAACACAGTTGGGCAAATTTGAGACGATTATGTGCTTGTAGAACTTTCCCCTGAAGCCATCATCACTGACTGGTCTCCCGAAGTGTCCAGGCGCCAGCAGCCCGTGCCAGATGGTGCCGGCTGGAGGGAATGGGGGGCGGGGGAGGAAAGAAGAGGGGGAAGAGAAGAAGTAGTGGGAAGAAAAGGAGCAGGTGACGAAAATAGCACGTAAAGAATAAGAGAAGAGCAACAGGCGTCCTGAGAGAGAGGGAAGGAGGTCATATTTCCATCAAAAATGATTTTCATGATTCTGTGTTCCGTTTTATGGGTCTTGGAGCGGACGTTCTCTAGAATATTTTAATACTGGCCCCTCAGAACGGGACAGAAGGGCCTGAAAAGCATTACTGATAGAAATATGACCCTTACTGTCGCTAACTATAAGATTGATCTAATAATATACTATGAGAGCAAGAAGAGCACCAACGTGCTCATCAACAACTCTCCTGACACTAAACAAACTTCTTGAAAGAGACGAAAGTTGTCTATGTCTTTACATGCGCACTTGGGGACTGTCAGCCCAAACGAATTCAATATATAGGCACGACAGCAACAACGTCCCTTCCAAGACACCTGATCTGACCAGCTTCCAACATATCCTGTACACACACACTTTATGTCGCTCCTATTTTGTCAGGATAAGATAGCTGCTATAGAAACTAGTGTGTTATTAAGCACTTAACCTTCAGTGGTTAATAACACACTAGTTAATATAGCAGCCTTTCAAAGAAGGAGGGACATAAATATATCTGTGTATGTGTACTCACCTAGTTGTACTCACCTAGTTGTGTTTGCGGGGGTTGAGCTCTGGCTCTTTGGTCCCGCCTCTCAACCGTCAATCAACAGGTGTACAGATTCCTGAGCCTATCGGGCTCTGTCATATCTACACTTGAAACTGTGTATGGAGTCAGCCTCCACCACATCACTTCCTAATGCATTCCATTTGTCAACCATTCTGACACTAAAAAAGTTCTTTCTAATATCTCTGTGGCTCATTTGGGCACTCAGTTTCCACCTGTGTCCCCTAGTACGTGTGCCCCTTGTGTTAAATAGACTGTCTTTATCTACCCTATCAATCCCCTTCAGAATCTTGAATGTGGTGATCATGTCCCCCCTAACTCTTCTGTCTTCCAGCGAAGTGAGGTTTAATTCCCGTAGTCTCTCCTCGTAGCTCATACCTCTCAGCTCGGGTACTAGTCTAGTGGCAAACCTTTGAACCTTTTCCAGTTTAGTCTTATCCTTGACTAGATATGGACTCCATGCTGGGGCTGCATACTCCAGGATTGGCCTGACATATGTGGTATACAAAGTTCTGAATGATTCTTTACACAAGTTTCTGAATGCCGTTCGTATGTTGGCCAGCCTGGCATATGCCGCTGATGTTATCCGCTTGATATGTGCTGCAGGAGACAGGTCTGGCGTGATATCAACCCCCAAGTCTTTTTCCTTCTCTGACTCCTGAAGAATTTCCTCTCCCAGATGATACCTTGTATCTGGCCTCCTGCTCCCTACACCTATCTTCATTACATTACATTTGGTTGGGTTAAACTCTAACAACCATTTGTTCGACCATTCCTTCAGCTTGTCTAGGTCTTCTTGAAGCCTCAAACAGTCCTCTTCTGTTTTAATCCTTCTCATAATTTTAGCATCGTCCGCAAACATTGAGAGAAATGAATCGATACCCTCCGGGAGATCATTTACATATATCAGAAACAAGATAGGACCGACTTGTGTGTGTGTGTGTGTGTGTGTGTGTGTGTATATATATATATATATATATATATATATATATATATATATATGTGGAAGCTGGTCAGAATTGCATTTCACCATTGTAAATGCACATAAATGACACTATGTAAAGACACCTCGAACACTGTTTAGGTAGGACAGACGTAAGTCTGTGTATTTATGTACGTAGGTTAGATTAGCATGTTAAAAACACTACAATCACTTTCTGTGGTTGATTAATTAATAAATCACCGACCTAAATGTTTAACACTTCTCTAACCCTGTCTATGGATGACAGAAGAAAGTACATATATATTGGTTAGCATTGTAAATGTGTGGCCACGTATGTGGTAGAAAAAAAAAATAATCGACAAAAGAAGACTGGACATTGGTGAGACATTTTACACCCAACCAGCCAAGTCAACCATCAACTGCCAACTAACAGATAATTACTCTCTGCCATCTGGAAAAAGGAGGAGATGGGAGGAAAGACAGGAAGGGAAGGAAACTATCAGGAGAATGCATCAAGCCACCACGACTATATAGCACTTGGGGATAGAAGGTAAGTGGAGTAAACAAATCCACAAGGGCCGTGACGAGGATATGAACCTATGACTGAGAGTATCGCAGACGCTATCTTGAGATGATTTCGGGGCTTTAGTGTCCCCGCGGCCCGGTCCTCGACCAGGCCTCCACCCTCAGGAAGCAGCCCGTGACAGCTGACTAACTCCCAGGTACCTATTTACTGCTAGGTAACAGGGGCATTCAGGGTGAAAGAAACTTTGCCCATTTGTTTCCGCCTCGTGCGGGAATCGAACCCGCGCCACAGAATCACGAGTCCTGCGCGCTATCCACCAGGCTACGGGGCCCCCATTACGCTGCCTTAATTATTTGGATTTGTTCATTTGATGCATCACGCTATTGTAATTTCTGTGTGTAATAAGTGGAGTAGTTAGGTTTGATCAAATTTCTATGTACGTTTAAAAAAATATATATATAATATAATGGAAAGCTCTATCATTCCAAAAAAATAGAAAAATATATAATTTTAGGAAAACTCGGCTTTTTAGGCAAATTTTTTATATTGTTACAGATTTGTATATTATTATTCGAGTGTCCGCCAAGAGTTCAGCCAGATACTGCAGTTTAAAGCATATTGTTGATTCCATTTCACTCACAAGTGTAAAATAAACTCATTTTACACATATAGGTATGAAAATAGTACTCATTTCTCACATAGGTATGAAGAATTACTCATTACACGCACCTGGGTGAAATAATTACTTACGTCACACAACTGTCAATGGGTTGTCTTAGGTCGGGTTACCTCGCCTTGCGTTGATTTCGGGGATCAACGTTTATCGGCCCGGTCACTGACCAGGCCTCCTGGTTGCTGGACTGGTCAACTAGCTGTTGGACGCGGCTGCTCGCAGCCTGACGTATGAGTCACAGCCTGGTTGATCAGGTATCTTTTGGAGGTGTTTATCCAGTTCTCTCTTGAACACTGTGAGGGGTCGGCCAGTTATGCCCCTTATGTGTAGTGGAAGCGTGTTGAACAGTCTCGGCCTCTGATGTTGATAGAACCAACTATTGTTTGAAAAGCAAATGACAATGGTTACATATATATTTGTTGAAACGTAAAAAGAGTAAGATTTTCCGTAATTCAAACTGCATTGTATATTCTATCATTAGAAAACTAGTGATATTATATCTCCTACTTACTGGCTGACTATATGACCGCTGATATGCTAATTATTCTGAAGTATACCTGGAACATTCCATGTCTTATATGTCTCTGTTTCTCCCTTGTTCCCCATTAGTCCTAAATGTGAAGTTATGGCTGGAGGTCTTGAAGGTGAAGACACGCACCGTGATCCCCGGCGCTGCCCGGGTGCCGAGAACAGTCACAGACGTGTGTTAGGTAAATAGCAGACGAGCGCCACCTTTGTTTGTGAAGCATTACCAACGAGACATTCACACCCTCTCAACCGTTTCTCCAAGCTCAGCCCCCCCAGCACACATGGGGGGTGGGGCCCCCCAGCACACATGGGAGTGGGGCCCCCCCCTAGCACACATGGGAGTGGGGCCCCCCAGCACACATGGGGGTGGCCCCCCCCCCCTAGCACACATGGGAGTGGGGCCCCCCAGCACACATGGGGGGGGTGGGGCACCCCAGCACACATGGTAGTGGGGCCCCCCAGCACACATGGGGGTGGGCCCCCCCCAGCACACATGGGAGTGGGGCCCCCTAGCACACATGGGAGTGGGGGGCTGACTCCCTTAAGCCCCTAACATGAATGTTGGGGGGAGAGGGGGGAGGTGAGGGAAGGGAGGGAAATATCAAGGGGAAAGTGCCAAGCCAATACGACTATATAGCACTGGGAAGGGATCAGGATAAGGATTTGGGATGGGACGGGGGGAAAGGAATGGTGCCCGACCACTTAGAGGGTGGGGGACGGTGAGAGTCGACTCCCTTTCTGTTGGATCTGTAGACTACAGTTTATGAAGGTGAATTATTCAGTTTGTTTTGCTTGTCTGTGATGGTGAACATCCCTAGTGTTGGCATGTCTGTGATGGTGAACATCCCTAGTGTTGCATGTCTGTGATGGTGAACATCCCTAGTGTTGCATGTCTGTGATGGTGAACATCCCTAGTGTTGGCATGTCTGTGATGGTGAACATCCCTAGTGTTGCACGTCTGTGGTGGTGAACATCCCAAGTGTTGCCATGTCTGTGATGGTGAACATCCCTAGTGTTGCTTGTCTGTGATGGTGAACATCCCTAGTGTTGCTTGTCTGTGATGGTGAACATCCCTAGTGTTGCATGTCTGTGATGGTGAACATCACTAGTGTTGCATGTCTGTGATGGTGAACATCTCTAGTGTTGCATGTCTGTGATGGTGAACATCCCTAGTGTTGGCATGTCTGTGATGGTGAACATCTCTAGTGTTGCCATGTCTGTGATGGTGAACATCCCTAGTGTTGGCATGTCTGTGATGGTGAACATCCCTAGTGTTGCATGTCTGTGATGGTGAACATCCCTAGTGTTGCATGTCTGTGATGGTGAACATCTCTAGTGTTGCATGTCTGTGATGGTGAACATCTCTAGTGTTGCATGTCTGTGATGGTGAACATCCCTAGTGTTGCATGTCTGTGATGGTGAACATCTCTAGTGTTGCATGTCTGTGATGGTGAACATCTCTAGTGTTGCATGTCTGTGATGGTGAACATCTCTAGTGTTGCATGTCTGTGATGGTGAACATCTCTAGTGTTGCATGTCTGTAATGGTGAACATCCCTAGTGTTGGCATGTCTGTGATGGTGAACATCTCTAGTGTTTCATGTCTGTGATGGTGAACATCTCTAGTGTTGCATGTCTGTGATGGTGAACATCTATAGTGTTGCTTGTCTGTGATGGTGAACATCCCTAGTGTTGGCATGTCTGTGATGGTGAACATCCCTAGTGTTGCATGTCTGTGATGGTGAACATCCCTAGTGTTGCCATGTCTGTGATGGTGAACATCCCTAGTGTTGCATGTCTGTGATGGTGAACATCTCTAGTGTTGCATGTCTGTGATGGTGAACATCCCTAGTGTTGCTTGTCTGTGATGGTGAACATCCCTAGTGTTGCTTGTCTGTGATGGTGAACATCCCTAGTGTTGCATGTCTGCGATGGTGAACATCTATAGTGTTGCATGTCTGTGATGGTGAACATCCCTAGTGTTGCTTGTCTGTGATGGTGAACATCCCTAGTGTTGCTTGTCTGTGATGGTGAACATCCTTAGTGTTGCATGTCTGTGATGGTGAACATCTCTAGTGTTGCATGTCTGTGATGGTGAACATCCCTAGTGTTGCTTGTCTGTGATGGTGAACATCCCTAGTGTTGCTTGTCTGTGATGGTGAACATCCCTAGTGTTGCATGTCAGCGATGGTGAACATCTATAGTGTTGCATGTCTGTGATGGTGAACATCCCTAGTGTTGCTTGTCTGTGATGGTGAACATCTATAGTGTTGCATGTCTGTGATGGTGAACATCCCTAGTGTTGCTTGTCTGTGATGGTGAACATCCCTAGTGTTGGCATGTCTGTGATGGTGAACATCCCTAGTGTTGCTTGTCTGTGATGGTGAACATCTATAGTGTTGCTTGTCTGTGATGGTGAACATCTATAGTGTTGCTTGTCTGTGATGGTGAACATCTATAGTGTTGCTTGTCTGTGATGGTGAACATCCCTA